GATTATTTCAATCCATAAAAAATGTTTGGTATAATTAGACAAATTTCTGGGCCAAATGACCATCCGTAAACTCCTACATTCATGCAGTTGTATCGAATGTTAAAGCATACTCCTTAATGAAGCCAAATAAAAGTGGAAATTGCAAAATTAGTGAAGGTAGGTACCTATAAGATTTTAATTGCGCAATGATGAATTTAAAATAAATATTTATTTGTTATTCTGTTAATAATTATTTTTATTTGTAGACTAAAAACCTATAATGGACATATCAGATTTTAAGGAGATGTTAGATGAATCATTACGAAGTGAAAAAATTAAAACAAAAAAATGGATACTTTAGTAGAAGATGGGATTGTGAAGACATTTTTATAGAACATGATTATACAAAAAGTTCAGTATTTGAATGTGTTGTATATTACTTAAGACAGTTAAGAGGGTAAGTAAATTCATTTTTTCTTATGAATTACAGAATAATTATTAATTTTCTTAAGGTATCTAGCTCGACGTTTGAGTAAAAAATCTAGTTGTGATTTATGCATAAATGGATTAAAAAATTGTTCTCGAGTAACTAAAAGTGAATCAGAATTAGTAAATTTAATAAGCAAAGGTTTCCTAACACACCCAAGAGTTAGAGAATTGTTTTACTAAGCATGCCAGTAGTCCAGTTGTTTTTTAAAACACTTACAACGAGTTTTTTCTAATTTCTATAAACTTGAAATTTCCTTGTCCAGACCACAAAAAACAAATAATAACTGACTTTTTCAGTTCTTATAATATTATAATGCGAATGAGGCAATATACCTATACTAAAAATCAAAAAACACAAAAACTAAATAGGACTAAAAAGAAAATAGTGAAACTAACAACAACTTAGGTAGGTATATAGTATTATTTTGATTATTATTAATTTTGGGAAGTAAACATGTATGTAATTAATTAAGGAAAAAAGTACTTAATTAGTAGAATTTATTATTTCATGAAGTTAATTTATTTTTATTATGACATAGATACCTTATTTTATATGAATCTGGTGTCTGTTATTCTTCTTTCATCAGCAACGGTTGAAAAGTTTTTACTGTTAATAATTAAGTATAGTATCCAATAAATGTATCATTCAACAAGTTTTAGTAGGTACTTTTTACTTATAATTTTTCTCCTGTCCAAATGATATAATATCTAAATTCTAAATTTCTACCTACACATCAAGACATCGGTGAAGCCATGAAGGCTAAAGCTAAATAATAAATACTATTTAATAATAATTAATATATATATATTATGTAATCATTAATCAGTAAGTAATTACCACTCCCGGCCAGATACAAGACATAATTCGCAACCTTCGCAAAAAGAAAGCCCCTGGTGACGACCTCATCACCAACACGGCTCTTAAATTCCTACCGAACAACGTTATACTGTCCCTTACTCGGATCATCAACAGCGCCTTCAGAATCTGCTACTTTCCCCTTGCCTGGAAAAAAGCAGTCATCATCTCCATTCCCAAACCAGGCAAAGACCATAAACAACCCGAAAACTATAGACCAATCGCCCTCCTCTCCTCCCTGTCCAAAATTTACGAACGACTCATCCTCACCCACCTACAAGACAAACTCAAAAACAAAATCCGTCCCGAACAGTTCGCCTTCAGACCCGAACACTCGACCACACTACAACTGACCAAACTCACCCACCAACTGAGCGAAAACTTTAACAACGACTTAAACACTGCTTCCGTCTTCCTCGACGTGGAGAAAGCATTCGACCGCGTCTGGCACGAAGGCCTACTCTACAAACTCTCCAAACTCAACATCTCGTTAGAAATCGTAAAAATCATCCAATCCTTTCTCACCGACCGTACTTTTACCACTAAAATTGAACACTCCTTCTCTACTACCAGACACGTACTCGCAGGAGTCCCTCAGGGTTCCTGTCTCTCACCGACGCTATACTTGACGTACATTAACGACATTCCAACGACTCCTAAAGCCAACCTCTCACTCTTCGCTGACGACACGATGTTCTTTACTAGTAATAAAAACCCCAAACGTGCAACCATACAACTACAACACCAACTCAACCTCGCGTCCAACTGGTTCCACAGGTGGCGAATCAAAATAAACCCGACCAAAACAGTAGGCGTCCTCTTCGGGCGTTCTAATACAACCCACATTCCACCTCTAACCATCGATAACCAACCCGTTAACTGGTCAAAACAGGCCAAATACTTAGGCGTCACGATTGGACGTAAACTTACATTCAACCAACACATTCAAGACGTAACCAAAAAAGCTACCCGCGTCCGTGGTATGCTTTACCCCTTACTTAACCGTACTAGTCCCGTTCCGCTGAAAACAAAACTTAACATACTTAAACTCTACGTGACCCCTATACTTACATATGCTGGCTCTTCCTGGGCACCCTTTATCGGCCCCTCCCATTGGAGACGTATTGAATCCGTCCAAAACATCGGCATACGCACGATAACCGGTATGCCCACTATCGTTAGAAACTCGGTCCTTTTAAAATCAGCCAACTTCAAATCTATCCAAAATTCCATTTGCTCTCAATCAAAAACAATGTTCTACAATAACTCTTTTTCCGAATACGATCATATCCGCCTCTTAGGTAAAACCCACTCCCCTCCAACCACCAAACGTTTACTCAAACCATACCCATTAAATTGGACTGACTTACATAACTGAACCTACCAATCAACCCCAAAATCCATCCACTAGTAGAGGCACAAGCCTGGAATAGTAAACGGCATAGCCACCCCTCCCAAAGCAAAGCAATCAGTAAGTAATTTATTAATAGGTACCTTTGTTTGATGTTCTGAAAAACTTCAAGAATTTGTAATAGTAACTAGTAAGTAGTAACTGTTTTGTCTTTGTGATTATAATTTTTTGTACTAATAACTAATAGCCGAAATCCGAATACGGATACCACGAATTCAAATTATAAATATTCTGTGCGGGCAGCGGGCTATTGTCATGGAATAAAATATTTAACAATTTTAATGACCACTTGGGCGCTAGGTGTGCTCCTCACAGGCCATAATCGAGGATAAACAATGGGTATCAAAAATAAATGCTCCGTTGAGTAACCTGTATATCTTAAATCATGATGATAACAGAGGAACCTTTTGCGGGCCGTTCCCCGTCACGAGCGTCTAGAGACAGCGCCTCTTATCAGCACTATTGTTATCAGCACGGACTAAGATATACAGGACTGGACACTACAAGGTCGGAGGGTGTGAGGGGTTGACCACGAAATGTAGTACAACAGGCGAAGTTCGGGGGGATATTTTCCTTTTAGCATTACTAGCGCTGTCCTAGTGGATACTTATGGAACTAGAACACATCATACAAATTTCTAGTTCCATAAGTATCCACTAAGACAGCGCTAGTAATGCTAAAAGGAAAATATTCCCCCGAACTCCGCCTGTTGTACTACATTTCGTAACCACAATATTCATCTCGTGTCCAGTCCTGTATATCTTAGTCCGTGGTTATCAGTATCACACTATCAGGGCAGTTGCCTTATCACTTAATCGGTAGATTACATTTAAATATTATTAGCGCCATACTGCCATGAGCAATAACCCGAATATTATGTTATGTAATAATATTTTATATTAATGTTAAGTAATATTATATGTGATTAACTCGTGACAAATTGGTTTTGTTTATACGTAAAAGTTTCAATTTTACAATTTTTTAATAATTTCATTTATATTACCCTGTGATTTTGTCGCATAATATTATGGAAAGTTCGTGTTGCCTATGGTTGCCAAAATATGTCTACATCTGAACAGTCCATACATTTTTTTCAGTAAGTAAATACATATTTGAAACAAATTTGACAATATTACATGTGATGGTGCAAGTACAAATGTATCTACTATGACACATCTTGGATGTAAGCTTCGTGGATCTTATGATGAGTTGGTAGAATATTTTATTATTCCTGGCATAGATTGGAAGGTAAAAATTATTAATATTTTCAAACCAACTCAAATACTATTTATTAATTTTTATTTAATTCAGATTTACTATACCTATACCTGATGCATGTCACAATATTAAATTAGCAAGAAATGCCTTGATACATACAGGAAATTTAAAAGTGATGATAGTATAATTGATTGGGCATTTATCCAAGATCTAAATAAAGGTATACCTAAAGATAATTGTATAATTGTATAATTTTCAATAATAAATAGGTTGCTTTTTAAACTACCTAACTATTATAGCTAAAGAGAACATGGGGTTAAATTTAGCTAATAAATTGACATCTGTTCATATTCAGAGGAGGAAAAACATTATGAAAGTGAAAATGGCGGCCCAGTTTAAATAGTTCATCTACTGCTGATACTTTACAGTGTTTTAGAACATTAAATAACCTGCATTTGATGACAGTGAGTTTTAATATCCCCACTATTATGGTTATTTGATACATCTAAGTACATTTAAACAGATTATTTAATTGTTTTGTTATAGGTGAAGCAACCGGAAATTCATAAGGCTAATGGTTAGAATATTTGATTTCCTCAATTCCTGTAATCCATTTGGTAAAGTCCAACATATAGGGTCAAAAACTAATATGGACCAAACAAATCAAAACAAAATAACACTGTTTTTATTTATTGGTTCATAGTAAAAACTAACAAGTAATGATAAAATTCACAAGTAACATACAGGGAATTAATACCTTTAAAAAATTATGTATTAGAAAAAATCCAAGTGTCCAATAAACTTGTTTGTTATAACTTATAAATAATATTCTACCCATAGAAATATGAAAAGAATCTAAATTAAAAATATAAATAATCCCAGTGTCTAATAAACTAGTAATGGTGTATAATATTTACAAAGATGTTACTTATTACTTGTTAGTTGCCAAAAACATTGATACATATATTATACTTAAACTGAAAAGTACAATTTTTGCAAACCAATTCAATGATTATTGGTATTGACACATGATTATTATAACTCCACCTAGTAAGAGCAAATCTCAAATATAAATATAGGTATACCAGCAATTGTTTCTTGAACAATAGTCGGAATAGGAAGATATCTAATTTCGTTTTGGTGCCCAAAGTGAGTCTTACAATATGTGCCATCTATATTGATCAGTCCAGCAACGGTTCTTATAAAGAAAGGGCAGCATTGATCTAAATCGTTAAAAAATAAAAATTATAAAATAATGTGTTGTATAAACTTATAATCATTAACATTTTACCAATTTTACAAGATCCAGTGATCTTCAATGCACATTCTCCTTTCCCTTTGGATTTGAATACTCCAGAACGATGGCAGTAATACTTGGTCGTTATTGTTTTGTTCATATTCGTTTTGGGCCTTCTATGTTGGACATAGCGTGTTGAAGTGGCCAATTCCTCCTTCTCTTTTCAATCATTAAACTCTACAGTAAATTTTAATGAAATACAAATACTTTACAAACAAGACTGGTTTTGCACATAATTTTTTTTAAATCCTTACCTTGAAGAGAACCAAATTTTAACTGTAAAGTTTCCAACTGTTCGCCCGAAGTTGAAAACATTGTATAATATTAATATATTTTCAATTATATAAAATATATTATAATATTAAATATAATATTATGACTGTTTATTTAAATAATTTAAAATATTATATTTAAATATTATCAACCGATTATGTGATAAGACAAATGCAGTGAAAGACTAGCGTATCGGGGGCAAAATTGAGCGACCAATCAGAATCGTTCACATTTGTTATCACTTTTTGTGAAAATCACGTTTGTTATCATAGATAATAAATAATATTATATATCTATCATATCTATTGTCATTGATGCTATTAAAATAAGACGACCAGAGAATATAATATTTACGACATAATTAGGGTTCAAAATAATATGTAACTATATATATTATAGTACTATAGTACTAACTATACTAATTTAGTAAATGAAAAATATAAACAATTGTTGCAAAACTGGTATTGTATATTTTCCAAATAAATTTACAAAAAGTTATTGTCTAAAATCTTATTTTAGTACTCAACAAATCATACTGTCGTTTGGTTTTATGATTTTATAAATAATAAAAAATAAATAAATAATCATTATTGGTATAATAACTATTAAATATAATTAAAGGGAAAAAACCACAACATATTAAACATTTTATGTTTTTTATTTTTAATGTAAATAAATATAACATATTAACACATAAATAATACAGTGACAGTGATTCATTTTTCATTTAATATTATACGTTTGTCAATTTGATTTTATATGTAAACTAGCTGATCCCGTGTACTTTGTTACCCGTTAAATGTACCAAATCTATATGACTTAAACTTTAAAATTTTCTTTGGTTTTAATTATATTAACGTTGTTTATAAATTATTTCTGATTTCAACCAATATTTATTTTTATAATAGCTTTAAAACCCATGGCAACCATTTATAAACAAAAATATCCACCGTAAATCTCAACATTCCTGTTTGAGCACCTCCCCGGAATGGAACTACCGGGTCCGATTTTGAATCGAAACCATTCAAAGGCCCACTCAACTATTCAAGCACACACAAAAAATTTCATCAAAATCGGTCCAGCCGTTTAGGAGGGGTTCACTTACAAACACACGTACAGTAGAATTATATATATAAAGATTATAATAAGAGTATATAAGATTTCTCTTTTGAAAAGAGAACCAAAAATTAATTAATTATTGCTTATAAGATGTTTTGTACATTAATTTTAATTTGGTAACAATAAATATTATTATTATTATTGTTATTATTATTATATAAATAATTATTAGCCCTCGGGTTTAAAATATTAGTCACAATTATAAAATGTAAATATAATGAATTGATTCAGTGATTCAATGACATTTTAATTAGCTGAATCACATGAATTAGTTCACTAAAATTAATTGAAAGTACCCATCATTAACCTGTATGATTGTCGATTGATGATTATTATATTATCACATTATAATTTTTATAAAGGATGATAAGAAACGTGATTTCCACAAATAGCGATAACAAATGTGAACGATTCTGATTGGTCGCGAAATTTTGCTCCCGAGACGCTCGTAGTGAAAGTCTGATACTGATAACAACAGTGCTGATAAGAGGCGCTGTCTCTAGACACTCGTTTCCGCCCCGACGGCCTAGTTTTTCCGGCCAACGAACGAGCAGAGCTGATAGCCGACTCGCTCGAACGTCAATTTCAAACAAACCCCGGCCCCGACTTACCAGACGTAACCGCTCACTCCCAGTACCTACAAGGCCTTGACATCACCCGATCTAACCTCTTTACCACTCCCGGCCAGATACAAGACATAATTCGCAACCTTCGCAAAAAGAAAGCCCCAGGTGACGACCTCATCACCAACACGGCTCTTAAATTCCTACCAAACAACGTTATACTGTCCCTTACTCGGATCATCAACAGCGCCTTCAGAATCTGCTACTTTCCCCTTGCCTGGAAAAAAGCAGTCATCATCTCCATTCCCAAACCAGGCAAAGACCATAAACAACCCGAAAACTATAGACCAATCGCCCTCCTCTCCTCCCTGTCCAAAATTTACGAACGACTCATCCTCACCCACCTACAAGACAAACTCAAAAACAAAATCCGTCCCGAACAGTTCGCCTTCAGACCCGAACACTCGACCACACTACAACTGACCAAACTCACCCACCAACTGAGCGAAAACTTTAACAACGACTTAAACACTGCTTCCGTCTTCCTCGACGTGGAGAAAGCATTCGACCGCGTCTGGCACGAAGGCCTACTCTACAAACTCTCCAAACTCAACATCTCGTTAGAAATCGTAAAAATCATCCAATCCTTTCTCACCGACCGTACTTTTACCACTAAAATTGAACACTCCTTCTCTACTACCAGACACGTACTCGCAGGAGTCCCTCAGGGTTCCTGTCTCTCACCGACGCTATACTTGACGTACATTAACGACATTCCAACGACTCCTAAAGCCAACCTCTCACTCTTCGCTGACGACACGATGTTCTTTACTAGTAATAAAAACCCCAAACGTGCAACCATACAACTACAACACCAACTCAACCTCGCGTCCAACTGGTTCCACAGGTGGCGAATCAAAATAAACCCGACCAAAACAGTAGGCGTCCTCTTCGGGCGTTCTAATACAACCCACATTCCACCTCTAACCATCGATAACCAACCCGTTAACTGGTCAAAACAGGCCAAATACTTAGGCGTCACGATTGGACGTAAACTTACATTCAACCAACACATTCAAGACGTAACCAAAAAAGCTACCCGCGTCCGTGGTATGCTTTACCCCTTACTTAACCGTACTAGTCCCGTTCCGCTGAAAACAAAACTTAACATACTTAAACTCTACGTGACCCCTATACTTACATATGCTGGCTCTTCCTGGGCACCCTTTATCGGCCCCTCCCATTGGAGACGTATTGAATCCGTCCAAAACATCGGCATACGCACGATAACCGGTATGCCCACTATCGTTAGAAACTCGGTCCTTTTAAAATCAGCCAACTTCAAATCTATCCAAAATTCCATTTGCTCTCAATCAAAAACAATGTTCTACAATAACTCTTTTTCCGAATACGATCATATCCGCCTCTTAGGTAAAACCCACTCCCCTCCAACCACCAAACGTTTACTCAAACCATACCCATTAAATTGGACTGACTTACATAACTGAACCTACCAATCAACCCCAAAATCCATCCACTAGTAGAGGCACAAGCCTGGAATAGTAAACGGCATAGCCACCCCTCCCAAAGCAAAGCAAGCAAAGCACACTCGTTTCCCCGTCACCCGCCCACGTTGTCGTTTCCAGTCCATTATAATATCTTAGTCCGTGGGCTAGCCGCTAGGCCCATATTATCAGGGGTACGAAACTCCGTGCGTTAGGGCCTTGAACAAGGTCTCCAAGGGGGCGTGGCATACGTGAAATAGGGAATGGTAAACAAGCCATTGACCATCTATGCGCCGAGCGTATCCCGTCTATGTTTCGGGCGGCGTTTACCAGTTGGGTCCGAAAGACTCTTATTTAACCTAGTTAGGTCCCAGTGTTTTTTAGGTACCACATTAGTTGGGTCCGGGATTTTTTCGGGTGCTACACTAGTTGGGTCCATGCAAAAAAACATTTCCCTTCTCATTTTTACAGACTTAGGACTGTCAGTGATCTATAAATTAGAACACAGGTATGATTAAAAATATAGTATAAAATGTTAATATTTATATGTATATTGTATATAGTATTAAAAGAATATAAAAATATTATAATATTCATATGGTTGGTAAAAATTTAAACGAAAGGGCTTTTATGAATTCAAATGGATTTTTTTTACCTAACATGCTTTCCATCATTTTTTCTTCTATAAAATTTTCTTATAATAATAAGTGTAACTTCTACAACAGTTCTACATTGAGTTCCTAATTATTATTAATTATAATTATACAAAATTAAATTAATTTACTTAATTGTAGTTCATAATATATTAATATAAGTATATAAAGTTGTGACATATTCAGTGGCGTATTTAAGGGGGAGCGATGGGGGGAAATTGCCCTGGGCGCCAAATTCTCAGTCCTCAAAGGGGCGTCGTGGTTACAGATTATAACAAAATTATTTTTTTATTTTATTGGATTTGTTGAGAAATTATATTAGTGATAACTGATAAGTGAATACCTGTATCTTTCTTATAATATCTTTTACATTTCTATAAATATTTCTATCTAATATATACCTATATATAATGTATTTTATTAAATTGTCGTAGAAAAAGGCTAAAATGCTAAAATCAAAATTATAATTTGTTTATTTAATTAAGAATAAATGGAGTGTTAATGATAAAATAAAAGTGTTCTCTAAATAAGTGGAAGCATAAATGCAATAAGTGGAAAATATACATTTTGGGTTATCAATTATCACTTTTACATAGCTTGAAACCGATTGAAAAAATGTCTGGTTTGGTTTCGATTTGTACACCGGTTTCCAGTTTTTTTCGATTTTGGTTTTGGATTTTGTTATCGGGTTCAGTTTTTAAATGGTATATACCTGTTTCAAAAATCGATTTCAAGAACTGGATTATTTAAGTTCATTCTTAGTTTATTATTTTTTTTGAATCGCTGGATCGAGAGTCCGATCGCATATTGTGTAAAGTAAACTTTCCAAAATGTCAAGATACAAAGATTTTTCGGAAAAAATACCGTTTTTTAAATTATATTTTCGGTTTTTAATTATAATACAGGTATCCAATTTTTTTCTAGTCGGTATTGAATTTAATACCGGTTTCCAATTTTTTACGGTTTTGGATTTGATTTTGTTTTCGG